GGAGGTGCGGATGGGGGCAGGCCAGGAAGGGGAGACCCCGGCATCCCTTGCAGCTCATTTGCATTACAGGAGGGGAAAGTGAGGCCCTACCAGCCCACAGGGACTCGCCATAGGACTCTGCCCAGGGCTCTGCTCCATTGCTACGCTTCAGCAAAAATCTGGACTTTGCCACCAAGAGAGAACCGGAAAGGCTAGGCTGCTGACCCTCACGCCCCGCCTACCTCCTTCCCCAGGGGCCAAGCTCCTTTAGAGATACCACTACTGTACTGTCCTCTAAATTTGGTGGAGTCAAGTGGACAGGCACCCGAGAAGATGATGGTGACATTTTGTGACTAAACCCCTCTGCTGAGCACCATGCTGTGGAGGGAATTCCTCAGGTATTCCAGGCCACGCCCCTGATCTAGGTGGTGGTGTCATAGCTCTGTTTTTCAGTGAGGGAACTGAGGTCCAGAGAGGTTATGACACATTTGGCCAGAACTGGCCCCACAGTCATCACTTTTAACTACTGGGCACCTCTCAGAAATTTACCCCCTCTCCAGACCTTCCTCTCAGAGCTAGGAGGAACCTGGATCACTGTGTTTTCAGAGTAGAGCTGTGCACTGTAAGATTGTAAAAACAAGACAAATTCACTGCTGTTGAGTTGGATCCAACTCATAGGGACCCCTCTTGGGTTTCCAGGGCAGTATCTCCATGGAAGCAGATTGTCCAGTCTTCCTTCTGAGGAGTGGCTGGTGGGTTTGAGCTGTCAGCATTCTGGTTAGCAGTCAGATGCTTTAGGCACTATGCCACCAGAACTACTGTAGGATTTTTCAGTGGTTGGTTTTTCAGAAGTGTATCTACAGGCCTTTCTTCCAGTGCCCTTCTGGGTGGACTTGAACCTCCAAGCTTTCATTTAGCGGCCAAGGATGTTAACTGTTTGCACCACCCAGGGACTGACCCCTCCTCAGGCCTTTCCTGTTCCTTCTTCTCACAGCCAGCAGCAACACCGACCCTTCCCCAGGCCCCTCTCCAGTCCTTCAACCCTAACCCCCGCTCCCCACCCCACCAGGTCTGTCCTCAGCCCTTCATGTCATAGCAGTTGATCAGCATTGCTAGCCCTAAGGAGCTGTGGGGATTAAAAGCTCAGGCCCCTGGGGTGTGTGGGGCATGAAGTCTGGGGCTGGGAGGCCTCATGCTCAGGCCAACAATATGTGCCAGGCCCGTGGCAGCTGGCAGCCTGTCAGCTGGGCCTGTGCCTGCCTTGAAAGGGGTAAAAGATACGGGAGGGAAGGAGTTAGGCCACCAGGCCCTGTGGGCACACTGGCAGGCAGGCGGTTCTACAGTCCCAAGCTGTGGTTGGATCCCTGCCCCATGCCCTGGCCAAGCTCCCTGGCATTATGTAGATCCTTTTCCTCCTCCGGCTCAGGTTGCTTCATCATCTTCCAGGCAGTTAGTGTAACAGAGCAGAGCACTGAAGAGCATGGTTCTCTCTGAGTATTGGTCTTGCTTCCATTACTTCCTAGTTGTGGCCTTGGGTAAACTGTAGTCTCCTTAGCTCTTCAAGGATGTAGTGATGATGACTCTTAGCTGAGGGCTCAGGGGAGGGAGGGAGGAGATGATATGACTCTTGGACCAACACTGAGCATCTCCTGACCCCGACCCCGACCCTGCCCTCCTGGGGATGAGCTTACCCCTCATCCCACCTGCCCTTGTTTCTTTGCCCTGGTCCTTGACTGTCTTCCCTGTCCTCCTCCTTCTCCTGGGGCCCAGGTGGACAAGGCCAGCATCCGCCATGGTGGGGAGAACGTGGCAGCTGTGCTGCGTGCCCATGGGGTACGCTTCCTCTTCACGCTGGTGGGCGGGCACATCTCCCCACTGCTGGTGGCCTGTGAGAAGCTGGGCATCCGCGTGGTAGACACACGCCATGAAGTCACAGCTGTCTTTGCAGCTGATGCCGTGGCCCGCCTGACTGGTAAGGGTGGTGGAGGGTGGGACGGGGGTGGCCGTGACTGCAGAATGGGGTGTCTGGATGGGGCAGGGCCATGACAGTTTCTGTGTTTCAGGGACGGTGGGTGTGGCAGCAGTGACAGCGGGCCCTGGCCTTACCAACACTGTGACAGCAGTGAAGAATGCCCAGATGGCCCAGTCCCCAGTTCTGCTCCTGGGAGGCGCTGCCAGCACCCTGCTGAAGGTGCTCAGCCCATGGGGGGCAGTGGGGGCCCTAGGTAGGACTGGGGGACTCACATGCTGATTAGATGACCTCTGTCTTTGCCAGAATCGGGGGGCGCTCCAGGACATTGACCAGCTGTCGCTGTTCCGGCCGCTCTGCAAGTTCTGTGCCTCGGTGAGGAGGGTGCGGGACATTGTACCCACCCTGCGGACCGCCATGGCTGCCGCCCAGTCAGGCACCCCAGGTAGGTCTGGTGGCTAGGTGGTGGTCGGGCCTTGGGGGCTAGAGGCTGGTAGCACCACAGGCTCAGTGTCCCCCTGTCCCTGTAGGCCCGGTGTTCGTGGAGCTGCCCATTGACGTACTGTACCCCTACTTCATGGTCCAGAAGGAGATGTTGCCTGCCAAGCCATCCAAGGGCTTCCTGGCTTGGGGGGTCACCTGGTGAGGACTCCTAGATTGCCATACCCTTCCCTGTCCTTGACCTCTCCTGCAGTTTCCTGCCCACACCCCTCAAGGAGAGCCCCTCATTTCATTGATTCCAGTGGGAAGGGCCGTCCAAGTCAAGGGAGCAGCACGTGCACAGGCCCTGGGGCAGGGGGAACTCTGGAAAAGTCAGGAGGCCCCTTTGTGGTAGGAGCAGGAGAGCTAAGGGTGTGGGGGAGGGGGTGAGCTCAGAGTGGCTGATGGGCCACTGCGAGATTGTAGGTTTTCTTCCATGATGTGATGCCTGGAGAAGCATTGCAGGGACTGAAGCAGAGGTGTGGGACTCTCCAATTTGGGTTTCCCTAGGGCAGTGGTTGGAGAGTGGACGGAGGGGTGGGGGGACCAGAAGCCAGGAGAAGGTGTCGAGGATCACAGGGCAAGAGGCCATGGTGGCCTGATCAGGGTGGTGGCCATGGGGCAGTGAGAAGGCAGATGGTTTGAATATAAGTGCCTAGACTTCCCCGAGGCTAAGATAAGGGGACGGTGGATCATAGTGCGTTTCTGTGGGCCTGCTGACTTCGAGTCCAACTGAGTAGCCAGGAGCTTGGAGAGCTCAGGGCAGCAGGACTGGCTTAGGACAAGTGTGAAGGTCTTTCTGGAAAAGCTGATGTCTTCAGGGGGCTTCTTGCAGTTCAGAAGCCTGGGTGGTGCAAGGGAGTTTGCAGTCAGCTGCTACTTGAAAGGTTGTTGGTTTGAGTCCACCTAGTGGCACCTTAGGAGTAGTGCCTAAGGCACGTGACTGCTAACCAGAAGGATGGCAGTTCAAACCCACCAGCCACTCCTCGGAAGGAAGATGGGGCAATCTACTTCCGTAGTGATACTGCCTCGGAAACCCAAGGAGGGGTCGCTATGAGTCGAGTTTGACTTGATGGCAGTGAGTGTTGGTTTTGAGAGGCACCTTGGAAAAAAGGGCTGGTGATCTGGTTCCAAAAAGGTCACAGCTGTGAAAATCCTGTGCAGCAGAGTTCTACTCTTGACACACACGGGTGGCCAGGAGCTGGGATCGACGCAAAAGCTGAGAGGGTGGAAAGGCTACCAGCAGGGGCGTCACCTGAGCAGAGTTGTGCAGAAGGTGGGGTCTGTTTTGGGACACTCTTGAGATGCTACTTTCTTCTTCCACCAGGAGGGACACGAGATAAGCCAGCCCCCCTCTCTGAGTGTGTACAGAGTACCCGAGGTTCTGGCTCACAGAGTTGCGATTTTGTCTTAGGGCCTTAACAGCCTCCTTAAAATTCCCTGTTCCCCAGCCTCCTGGTCACTCCCCTCCCCTTGGCCTTCTCATCCCTTGCAGCCTCTGCCTATTCCTTTCTGTTTGTTTGTGGTGGGGAAAAAAAAAAAAATGACATGTGCCGTCTCAGCAATTTCTACACATGTACTTCAGTGTCATTGATGATATTCTTCAGTTTGTGCAACTGTTCTGTTGTTGTTCAGATCATTCTACCACCATGAACATAAATAAACTCACTGCCCCTAGGCAAAAACTGCCCCCACCCCTGGTAACCACTAGTCATCTTTGTTTTCTATGTTTGCTCATTTTATGAGAGCACCTACGGCATTTGTCCTTTTGTGTCTGACTTACTTGGATCAGCAGGATGTTTTCAGGGTTCATCTATGGTACAGCAGTGTCAAGAGTCCTGTTCTCTATGGCTGAGAGTCTTCCATTGTATGGATGGGCCCCATTTTATTATTCATTTATCTGTTGATGGACATTTTGGTTGTCTCCATTGCCCAGGACTTTGCTGTAAACATTGATGGTGTCTCTCAGCTCCATCCTTGACCTCCTGTCATTCTCTGAAATCTTGATTCCTCTTTAAAAGAGAAAACGGACTTCTGACTCTGAACTCCACTGGCTGCAGCGCATGTGCCTGTTCTCGGACAGACTGCGTGCCCTTGCGGACAGTGGCTGGGCCAGACTTCCCTTTGTGCCTCAGGCCTTGCACAGGGTCTGTTACAGAGTTGGTGACTGTAAATCAAACCAGCTGCTGCTGCATCGACTCCGACTCCTGGCAGCTCCACGTGTGTCGGGGTAGGGCTGTTCCCTGTAGGGTTTTCAGTGGCTGATTTTTGGCAGTGAATGGCCAGGCCTCCTGAGGTGCCTCTGGGTGGACTCAGACCTCTAGCCTATTGATAGCAGCTGAACACATTCACTGTCCGCACTTCCCAGGGACCCCTGATAAGCAGCTCCTTCCTCTGCCCTTGACAGGTACTTAGAGAATCACCTGGCCAACCTCTTTGCAGGGGCCTGGGAGCCTCAGCCTGAAGGACCTCTGCCCCTGGACATCCCTCAAGCACCCCCTCAGCAGGTGAATCGTCTCTCTTTCCTGACCAAGGGCCCCTGCCTGGCAGCACGGCCTGTCCCTGAGTCAGTACCAGGGCCCTGATCATGGGGCTGATGGAGACTTGGGAATGGCCCCCTGATCCCCTTTTTGCCCCAGGTCCAGCGTTGCGTGGAGATCTTGAGCCGGGCCAAGAGACCCCTCATATTACTGGGGAGCCAGGCCCTGCTGCCCCCAACGCCTGCTGACAAGCTTTGGTGAGAAGCCCCAGCCCTGCCCTTGTTATTGCACTCCTGTCCCTGGCTCCTCCAGTGTCCTGTAACGAGGAGGCGGGCTCTTGGACACACTGACCCCTGCTCTGCCTGGACCCCCAGGGCTGCCGTGGAGACCCTGGGTGTCCCCTGCTTCTTAGGGGGCATGGCACGGGGGCTGCTGGGCCGCAACAACCCCCTGCACATCCGGCAGAACCGCAGCGCCGCCCTGAAGAAGGCTGATGTCGTTATCTTGGCAGGTGGGCTGGCCTCCTCCCCCCTTTCTCCACTCCTTGTCTCATGGCACCCCTCCACCCTGTGGGCCTGCCCCTCCTAGCCAGGGACACCCTAGCACCCCAGCCTTTCAAGGGTTTGGTTTATCCAACAGCCCTGAGTCTGAAATCCAGGTTATTGTCTCTAGGCTGTGGTTGTGTGCTGTGACTCAACTTCATAGAACGGAGAATGGACACATATTAGGCACCTACTGTATTTTCTGTACATTGTCACATGAAGTACTTGGAATCCTGCCAGAAACATGATAGAGGATGTCTTAGTTCCCAAGCGAATACCACAAGTGGGTGGCTTTAATGAACAGAAATTTATATTCTCATAGTCAGGAGGCTGGAAGTCTGAATTCAGGGCACTGGGTCTAGGGGAAGGTTCTCTGTCGGCTCTGGGAGAGGATCCTTGTTTCAACTTCTTTAGCGTCCTTGGCATTCCTTTGTTCCTCTGCATGGTGTCTGTCTTTCTCCCGTTTGTCCTTGCTAGTCTCTGTGCTCAATCTCGCTATTTCAAAAATGTTTAGGTATAAGGCACACCTTATACTGATTGGCTTTATTAACTAACATAACAGAAAATCTTATTCCCAAATGAGATTACATCATGGGTATAGGGTTAGGATGTCAACACATATTTTTGGCATACAATTCATCCATACAGTGTACCAGTTAGCTCTTGCTGTGTAATAACCATCCCCTAACCCAGGGGTTTAAAATGCAATTATTATTTCTCAAGATCCAGCTGTGGGTCAGCGGGGCAGTTCTATTGGTTTCAATTGGGGTTGTTCATGTGTCTGCAGTCATCCTGGGCACCCAAGTTGGGAAACAGCCGTGCTGATCAAGGTTGGGCTCTTTGATACAGTTGGTCAGGTGCCTATAGACTGTGGTGGGTGGAGCTGCATTCTTCCCACCATCATCCAGCAGGGTAGCTCAGCTTATTTAGTCAGTGAGGGATGAGAAATACGTGGGTCAACAGGGGGAGCCCAGTTATTCTGCAGGGAGAGAGGAAGCTGCATGGCTTTTTGTGACCTACGGTTAGGAATGGTATGTTCTCAACCTCTGCCATGTTCTGTTGTCCAGAGCAAGTTACAAGGCCAACCCAAAATCAATACAAAAGGCAAGGCAGAGATACAGAGAAGGGTGGAGAAGGGAGCTCCTTTGCACTCAAGTCTGCACAATGGAACAGATAAGGCAGTGAGCCCACCCCCAGGACCCTGGGCCTCCATTCACTGAGGTCCTGTCCATTCTCCCCACCCCAAGGAATCGTGTGTGACTTCCGCCTGTCCTACGGCCGTGCCCTCAGCCGCAGCAGTAAGGTCATCATCGTCAACCGCAACCGCAAAGAGATGCTGCTCAACTCGGACTTATTCTGGAAGCCCCAGGAGGTTGTGCAGGGTGAGCCCCCGAGTCTCCCCACTCATGCTGGCTCTTCTCAGCTCCCCTCCTCCCTGCTAGAGTTGGGTACTGATGAGTAAGGCCCCACCCCTGCCAGAGGCAGCCAGTCTCAGATGGATGGGTGCATCTGTGCAACAGACGGTGGGAGGTTTGGAAACATGGGTGTCATCGCGTCCCCTAGCTGCCCTCTACTCTTAGAAAATGAAGACCTCATTCCTGGGCCCCTGAGGTCCTCCTGCCTGGCCCCCAGCCCCCCACTTTCGCTTTCCCTGGGGCTTTCCCACACCCTTCTTTGCCCATCATCCTAGAAGGTGACTGTCCCTGCTTCTGTGTTTGGTACAGAAGAGGCATGACTGGGCTTGTGTTTGGGAAGGTCTACTCTGGCAGTTGGTGGGGCAGGTGGGATAGAAGGGGGCCCAGTGGAGGCAGGGGGCCCAGGACAGAAATGATCCCTGAAGGAGGGGCAGACAAGGATGAGACACACAACTTTGATCCCCGTTTGGTCATTGCCAAAGTGCACATGGTGTGAAGTGCACCCTGGGATGTTTATCTGTTTGTGGAATGTTCTGTGTGGGCCTCCCATGCATCTGGCTTGGAGACATGCGTCTGGTGGACATGGCTGTGTTTTGACCTAAGTCAGTGCTGAACGGACAGGCCCAGTGGCCTGCGTGGAAGAGGCACCAGACAGTGAGGCCAGCTTGTATTACCCATGTGCTTCTTGTTCTTGTTACTTGTTGGTGATTTGACTCAGGTGCAGGGTAGGACTGTGTTCCATATGGTTTTCAAGGCTGTGACTTTCTGGAAACATTACTAGGCCTGTCTTTGAACCCCTGGGTGGGTTCCAACTACCATGCCTGCATCTCATTTCTCTAGGCTTGTCCTTCTCTCACTCAGGCATCCTCACATGGTCAGGCTCAGGGTCTTCCAGCCATTTAGCCCTCCTCAATGCACTGTCGTCAGGCCCCCTCCCCACAGGCATACGCTCTTATCCCTCCCCCAGGAGACGTGGCCTCTTTCATGCTGAAGCTGAGTGAGGGCCTGCGAGGCCACACATGGGCCCCAGACTGGGTGGAGGAGCTTCAAGAAGCCGACCAGCAGAAGGAGCAGACCTTCCGGTGTGTCTGGGTGGGGTAGAGGTGGGGGTTCCTGGCACTTGTGGGGGTTCCCATTGCTGCCTGCCATTGACCTGCATGCCCGGTCACAGGGAGAAGGCAGCGAGGCCCACAGCCCGGCACCTAAACCCAGTGCAGGTGCTACAGCTGGTAGAGGAGACCCTGCCTGAGAACGCGGTCCTGGTGCTTGACGGTGGGGACTTTGTGGGCACTGCTGCCCACCTGGTGCGGCCCCGTGGGCCCCTTCGCTGGCTGGATCCTGGTAAGTAGGGTCCCATGCCCTGGAGGGGATGTGTTACCAGCCTTTATCAAACTCACCTGTTGTTGGTCCTCTTAGGGCCCTTTGGGACTCTAGGGGTCGGTGGAGGGTTTGCACTCGGGGCCAAGCTGTGCTGTCCGGATGCTGAGGTAAGCTGGGGGCACGGTGGGTGGGCGGCTGGCTGCTCTCTGGGCCATGGGCCCCCCTAACCACCTTGTGCGCCCCACCAGGTCTGGTGCCTGTTTGGGGACGGAGCCTTTGGTTATAGCCTCATCGAGTTTGACACCTTTGTCAGGCACAAGGTGAGCAGGCCAGGGCTCCCTGCCCTGAGGGACACTCAGAATGATGTCATCAGGGGTGAAGAGGGTGCCCTTCCATCTGGCAGATGTCTGTTCCCCTTGGGTCCCCTGGCTGAAGGCCATGGGTGACCCCATCTTCTCCTGCAGACCCCAGTGATCGCGTTGGTGGGGAATGATGCTGGCTGGACGCAGATTTCCCGGGAGCAGGTGCCCCATCTGGGTAGCAATGTGGCCTGTGGCCTGGCTTACACAGGTGAGGGGCCTTGTGCAGGGAGAGGGAGGGGAGAGAAGCCATGGGTAGGAGTGTAGGACTGTGGGGGGGGGTAGGGCACTGTAGTTATGAGAGGTCATCGGGAGCAGGGAGGGGAAAGGGGCTGTGGAGGGGGCTGGGTGCTGTAGGTAGGTTTAAGGGGCCGCTGGGAGGGCAGGGGCTACAGAAAGGTCTGAGGGGCCATGAGGTTGTGAAGGTCTGTGGGGAAGGTGAAAGGCTGTCTCAGAGCCCTTGGCGGCCACCTGACTGACCTCCTCCTACAGATTATCACGAGGCAGCTAAGGGTCTGGGGGCCCGGGGCTTGCTGCTATGCCGGGAGAATGAGGATCAGGTGGTCCAGGTGCTGCGTGAGGCCCAGCAGCACTGCAAAGATGGCCACCCGGTTGTGGTCAACATTCTTACTGGGAAGACTGACTTCCGAGACGGGTCCATCGCCGTGTAGCATCGCGTGGGGCAGGACCTCTGGCTCTTTTACACCCCTGGACTGTACCTTGCTGGCCTCGTCTTCTCTGCCTGCCTCAGGCCCATCCCGTGACCCCAGTGACTCCTCAACCTCCCAAAGGACAGGGAGGGTCTGAAGAAGTCAGGACCTGGGAAAGTTCCCAGTAGTGCTGGGACAATCTTCGGGCTGAGGGAGGTTCCCAGCCTTTCTCTCTTAACAGACTGAATAAACCACCTCTGGGCCCGTTGGGGCAGGCCTGTGCATATTGATTTATTGTCCACAGAGATGGAGGGGAAGGGAGGAGGTGGGGGCAGGAGGGGGCCCTACTCTCCCAACTGGAACCTTGGGGATTTCAGGGTGCCTGGGCACTGTGAACTCTTCCCCCTCTGTGGTCCTTCAAAGAGCCCCACACACCCACTCCACACACATCCAGTTTATACACACCCACTCACACGCGCCCTTACAGACACACCCATGCATGGAGGCAATAAATAGTTTCCGTACCAAAGTGCCCCAGCCTGAGGCTTCAGGCAAGCCCCTCCAGAAAGGAGGGGTAAGTGCTCAAAGAGTTTTTGGGAAATGGGGAGGGGAGGGAAGGGGATGAGAAAGGCCAAACTCTGCTGTCTCCATTTACTGATGTGAGGCAGGAGGGGGTCTTCCCTGGAGAAGAGGGAGGGGAGACCAGCTGTTTGTAAGCCCCAGAAAAGCCAGAGGTCAGCTCCAATTCATGGTGACCCTGTGTGTGTCAGAGTAGAACTGTGCCCCAGAGGGTTTTTTCCAATGGCTGAGTTTTTGGAAGATCAGGCCTTTCTTCCCAGGTGCCTTTGGGTGGATTCCAACCACCAACCTTTCAGTTAGCAGCTGAGCATGTTAACAGCTGTGCATGTTAACAGGATACCCTATAAACTAGAGCCCAAGAAAGGGGCTGTGCCATCTCCCCCCCCCCCAAAAAAAACAAAAGACCAACAGTACCTTCTGATGGTCCTTGGACCTTCCAAGGGTGGGAGGAGCAGAGAATGGCCTTCAAAGCTAATACTGACTTGGTTGGCAGCAGCAAGAAAGTTGGCTGGTGTAGATGGGGGCCGTTCACCCTTCCAGGGTGATGCTCACAGTATTTGGTGGTTCCCCCTACAAGGGGAGGCAAGAGGCCGGCCTAGCAAGCAGGAGAACTTCCTTTTTGGCAATAAGAGAAGCCCTTGGTACTCAGGAAAGCTGGTCCCTAAAACCGCTTCGCAACCAGTTGCTGAGAGTACCAGCAACTGGGCACTAGAAATTGGGAAGGATTCTCAGCAAGGGACTGGCTGGTCCCCTGACAACTCCCTAGCAATCAGGAGTTGGCTTTGGCAACAAATCTAGTCCTTGGTTATTAGGGCTCTGCCCTAGCAACCAGGAGCTAGGCCTTGGCGACAGGTCTGGTCCTTGATCATCAAGGCTCCACTTTAGCAACCAAGAGCCCGGCCTTTAGCAACCGGGGTCCACTCTGCCTGGCTCAGAGGCATACATTGATCTGCTTAGAGAGTTCTCTCTCCAGGTCCAGGATAAGGGCATCGAAGTCTTTGAGATTCAGATGCGGGTTGAATGGCGCCTCAAAGTCGTCCTCAAAGTCGGCGGTGCCCCGCGGCACGCCTGCCTCGTCGTCGTCCTCGTCGTCGCTGTCACTGCCCGTCACGTGGTCGTAGTCCGGCCCGGCCAGGAAGTCTCGTCCACAGGGCAGGAAATCTCGCCCGCAGATGCTCCAGTCGCCGGCGTAGCGATTGCTCGGGGGACTCTCGGGGCCTCCCCGACCGCGAGGCCTGGTCACCACTTCGGGGGCTGCCAGCGGCAAGTGCAGCGGCGGCTTTCGTTTGGGTCGCAGGTACGGGGCTAGGTCCGGAGTCTCCGAGGGCCGCCGGGGGTCTGTAAAGAGAAGAGGGCAGGCTCAACAAGCCAACACGCGCTGCGGAGGCGACCTGTCCTCTGATTGGTTACTGAAGCAATCAGGCCTGATTGATCAGGCAAAAGGCAATCGCCGGGATCTCATTGGCTGAGATAGAACCGGTTACTAAGGCAACTAGGCGTCTGATTGGCCAACAGGAAGGACCTCTGACACATCAAGGATGGAATGGCTGAATCGTTAAGTGGTCCCCAGAAGCAACCAAGTACCAGTAACGCCGACAAAGGGGTGTGGTCTGCCTTAAATTGCAGAATCAGATGGGCTGCACGACCTGGCCTGATTGGCGGAGCGGGCTCACCTGGCCAGGACTGTAGCAGGTAGTGCAGCACCTCGATGTGGCGCTTGAAGTCTACTGCGCTGGCAAGGCCGGGACCGGAGCCGCGGACGCGCGGCCGGGAGGGTGCCTGGCGCGCCGGCAGCAGCACAGGCCCAAAGCAAACGGCCAGGTTCTGCGGGTTCATGCGGTTGTGGGCGTGGAAGGAGGAGACCAGGCGCAGGTGGTCTAGGAGAAGCGTCAGCGTGGCCTGGGGAGAGGGTTGGGAGGGCATGAGGCGGGCAAAGCCAGGACCCTGTTGTACCTGCTATAGACTAAGGCGCACAAAACCCAAAACCAAACACACTGCAGTGGAGTCCCACCAGACTCATAGCTACTCCTCCTTGGGTTTCCGAGGCGGTATCACTATGCAAGTAGCTTGCCCAACCTTCCTTCCGAGGAGTGGCTGGTGGATTTGAACTGTCAGCCTTCTGGTTAGCAGTCAAATGCCTTAGGCACTATGCCACCAAAGCTCCCAGACTAAGGTGCATAGTGGGGAACAAGTTCAAGGGACATGGCAGACCCAAGACTGGAATCCAGGATTGGCTGCGGTAACAACAACAACAACAACAAAAAAAAAACCCAAACTCACTGCCATCCAGTAGATTCCGACTCATAGTGACCCCCTTTGGGTTTCAGAGGCAGTAAATCTTTACTGAAGTAGAATGCCCAGTTTTCCTTCCAAGGAGTAGGCTGGTCGGTTTGAACTGCCAACCTTCTGGTTTGCAGTCAAATACCTTAGGCACTACGCCACCCCACCAGATGATCTCATTTCATGTCTGGAGGGCAGACTGAGGCTGGAAGTAATCAGCTTTGGAACTGGCAGAGATTTGTTTGGAACCCATTCCTCTGTGTACTTGGCCAGAGTCTCGTTTTACAGATGAGGGTATTGAGGCACAGAAAGGGGCAAAACTTGACCAGGAGCCCACAGCCAGGAAGCTCTCTGTGGCACGTTAACTGACCCTAGTGCAGAGTCTTAAGTTTTTCACACATCCCAGCTGTGTGAGCCTGGGCAATCCATTCAACTTCTCCGGGCCCTGGTTTTCATATCTGTGAATCGGTGACACTAGGAGTAACTGGGTGGTGCACATGGTTAACACACTCACTGCTAACTGAAAGGCTGGAGGTTCAAGTTCACCCAGGGGTGCCTCAGAAGAAAGGCCTGACAATCTCCTTTGGAAAAATCAGTCACTGAAAACTATGGAGCATAGTTCTGCTCTGACACACACGGGGTTGGCATGAGTCAGAACTAACTTGATGACAACTGGTTTAAGAGCAGCTGCTTCCTACAGTTGTGATGCCACAAGCTCGTACCCATTCCCTATGTGTCCCAACCACCCAGGATAGGCCATCCTCAGCCCAACTCACCCTCTCCACATCTGGCAGGCAGTTGAGGAGCCCTCTGGTGCCCTCAGGGCTGGGGGGAGCCCGGCCTGGGGGTCCCCGGGCCATAGCCTCCAGCACCACCTCATAGAGGGGCTGAGTGATGAGTGGAGTGGGCAACTCCCGAAGATAATCCTTGAGGATGCCTGCAGACACACGGCACCCTCTGGTCAGGGCACCCCTGGCCCCTGAGGCCAGAGTGGTCATTTGGGACTGGGAGCAGGGAGGAGGGAGGATGACAGGCTCAGGAGAGTGAAAGGAAACCTAGACAGAAGAGGTGAGGTCCCAGAGGGGCTACAGTAGGGACAGTGAGGGTCCAATGGGGGTGATGCAGGCAGGGGGAGGAGGGGCATGCTGACCAGTGATGACATTGATATCAGGGTACAGGTCCTCGGAGAGACAGACAGCCGCACTGTCCCGCTCAAAGGCATCCCGTAGCTCCTTCTTCACTGCTGCCGAGCCACACAGACGGTACAGCCCCACGACCTGGGGTTGAGGGCAGAGAAAGGCGTCTCCTGGATGGGACCTAGGAGGTGGAGGCTTAAGGTCTGGGCCAGGGTGGAGTGGATGCTGTGGGTGGGAGGGTTGTGGCCTCATTGGCTGTCTTCTTGCTCCTGACACCTGCCAGGGGGGTCCCTGCCTTGCTTTCTGGACAACCTGGCTCATAGATATTCTGATCGGGTCACCTGTCTTGAGCCTCCACTGACTTAGGAAAGTCTGACTCCTCTGTCAGCTCACTTGTCACCTCCTCAGGGAAGCCTTCCATGACTACCCCAAACAGACCACGTCCTATTTTCAGCTCTTACAGCCTCAGCTAGCTTCCCTCCTAGGAGGAGGAGTGTTCTCCTCGCTATAGTTTTATATTTGTTGAGTTAATAGGTTTGTGTTTTTTCCCCTATCAGATTCTGAGCTCTGGGAGGGCCAGGATGCTGTGTTATTAAAAGAGTAGATGACCCAGAGTGTTTCAGGCTGGTGCTGTGGCCTGGTGACTGGGATGGGGGCTAGGAGTGGCCCAGACTGGGCATGCTAAGGTTTGGGGGCAGAGAGGTAGTGGGGAGCTCACCCGCAGACCACGGCGCTCAATTTGCCCCACACACTTCTGGATGATGAGAGGCACCTGGCCAGGGGGCTGCTCCCGCTCCACCAGCAGGGGCAGGGGCAGCCCGAAGACCCGGGGCTCCGCTGTGCCTGGGGCTTCCTGCTGGTCCGACAGGGTCAGCTTTGCATACAGCAGCCCCTGGGGCTCCAGGCGCACAGCCAGCTGCTGGGCCTGGCACCCTGCGAACGAGAGGGGGCCTGAGCTGGGTCTGAGCCCTGCAGGCCCCTGTACCCGGGCCCCCATACTTGCACTCATCCCTTCACTCCAGGCCCAGCACCCTGGGGACTCTGAGCAGGCACGTCCTGGGCCAGGTTTGCCCTCCCCTCAGCATCCAGTCCTCCTCTACTCCGCTCCCTGCCCCTCCACCCCCTTCTCCCCCTCAGCACAAACAGTACCTCGGAAGACCATGGGTAGCAGCACGGTCCCCTGGGCGCAGGGCCGGTGCCGCCGGACGCCGGGGTCCCAGGCCAGCACCAGGGCCCGCAGCAGCCGGGCGGCCTCGAGCTCCAAGTGGAAGGTGTGGTCTAATCGAAGGAAGTCCGGGCTGCCGCGCAGCGGTCCCGTGCGCGCCCGGGCCACCCCGTCCACCTGCAAGAGGCAGCAGAGGTCCCGAGGGGGCGCCCCAGATGCCGGCCGCAGCCCCCCGAGCCCGTACAGGTGCAGACTCAGGCGGCCCCAGAGCGCGGGCGGGGGCGCGCGGGCCACTGGGCCCGCCTCATAGGGCCGGAAGGCGGTGGGCGATGGGGGCCTCGTGGCTCTCTCGGGCGAGTCGCCGTCGCTCAGGTAGCCGGCTCGGGGGCCCCTCGCACCCCCAGCCCCTGCGGCGCGCCCGGGGGCCCCCACGCTGCTGTCCAGGTGGTAGCGGCTGATGACTGAGCCCGCAGGGGCAGCCCTATCGCGTTCGCGGCCGCCCCGGGGGCCTCGCAGGCTCAAGCGGCGGCGCAGCTCCGGCAGCTTCTTCATCTTCAGGGACAGGCGCCGTGCCGGGCCCGGGGACTTGGTGCGCGAGGCCTTGGCGGGGGGCGGCGGCAGGTGTTCACCCTCCTGCTCCCCGGCGCCTGGCTGCGGCCCCGCAGGAGCCGGCGGCCGGGGGTCCTCTTCGGGAATGGGGTTGTACCAGATCTCGCCGGCCGGCTCCCGGCTGCTGGGCGCCCCGAGCCCCATCGCGACCTCCTCCGGAGGCTTGGCCCCGCCCAGGACCCAGCGCCGGCTGCTGGGCTCCAGGCTCTGCAGGTAGGCCCCCCGTGCGGGGCTCCGCGAGGCCTCGGGGCTGGGGGGCCCCTCTGCGCCCGCTGGACACCCTTCTGGAGCCTGGGGCTTTGGCTCCAGGGGGCTGGGCTCTACATGATGGGCTGGGCGGCCTGGTGGAGAGCAAAGGGATGCGAATAAGTGTCTTCCATCCTGTTGCCCCCAACCACCCCTGGCTGCCCGGGGCCACCTCCAACCATTCTCAGACCAGCACCAGCCCAAGGCTCTTCCCCTAGCTTTTGCCAGGGCTGGGGTACACGCAGCACCAGCATCCACTAGATGCTTGTTGGACAAATGACAGCCAGCCCTGGCTTTGGACAGGTCACTGACCCCTGAAGCTTGGTGCTTTGTCTGGGATGGGTGGCCTTAGAGCCCACCCCATCTCAGGCCCTGGCACCCAAGTGGGGACTCTGTCCCTCCACCTTCCAGCCTTGGGGTCTGGGTTGGTTTCCCTTGTCCCCACCCTTCTCATTAGCCCCTACTCCCCCCACTGGATGACCTTGGACGCTTCACTTCCCCTCTTTGAGCCTCAGACTCCTATGGAATGGGGGATGTGACACCCACCTCCCAGAAGAGCATGGGAAGTACCTACTCCAGGCCTTGCCACAGTCGAGCACACACAAGTGAGTCGATGCTCACTTGGGGGACAGACACTAGCATCATTGGCTTTCCCTTCCCTGAAGGTTCCTTGCCACCCCCCCCCCCCAAGGGCCCGTCTTCCAAACTCTGTCTCCATCCTGGGGCAGGTCCTGCCCCGACACCCAGGCCAGATCCCCGCTGTGAACCGCTGGAAGCCTCCCCTTTGCTCCTTCCTCCCCCTCGGACATCCGGGGTGATTTCCTCTGTGTGTGTGTGTGTGTGTGCGCGCGCGTGAGTGTGCGTGTGTGCAACCCTGTCTCCTCTCCTTGCCCTGGGAATTTTTGGGAATGGCTGTGGGGGGTCAGATCTGTAGAATGGTCTCCCTCTCTCCCCTTCTCCCCCTCCTTCCCAGGACCCCCTGTTTCATGCAGCTTAAGTTTTCTTAAAGTCGCTCTGAATTGCCTGCTGACCCCTCCTTCTTTCTCCTGCTTTACATCCCCAGGGCTCTATCGTGGAGGTCCCTACTAGTAGCATAGTCCCAAAAGCCCGTTAAGTCACTTCATTGGCCTGGGGCTAATTACCTAACTGACTCAGTTTCTCCATCTGTGTAAGAGGGGGAATGTCCCACGTTCGGAGAAGAGGGCTGAAGCCCTTGCCAAGCTGCAGTCCCTAGTCAGTGAACGGGAGCGGGTGCGGTGGGATGCCTGCCCCCTCCTCATCTCTCCCTGCCGGGCTAGACAGGGCCCCAGCGCCTTCGCCTCCCAGCCCCTCCTCCCCTCCACCCTCCAGGCGCTCAGTCCCGGCCCCATTTCCTGTCAGGGCGAGGCCCCCTCTCCGGCCTCCCAAGGCGCCCGCAGCGCTGGCATCCCGGGCCCGTCGCACATAACGGTCTGCGCCACCCCCCGCCTTGCCCTAGCCCCTTCCTTCCAGGACCCCGGCCCCGGGGGCCCCAGGGCTGGTTGGCAGCTGCGCCCGCAGGGGGCACCGCGGGGGGCCCCCTATACCCCTGGCCGCTCCTCCTCCGAGTCCCAGGACCTCCTCCCAGGCCGGGCGGGGCGCGCGACCCCCAAAACCTCAGTGCCCCACTCACCCCTCTCCTTCGCGTCTGACTTTTTCCGGGGAAGTTTCTCCCGGCCCCGCAGGCGGGAGAAAGTCTTCCTGAGCAATGGCTCGGCCATGCTGGGGCCGGGGCGGCCGAGTGTGCGCCCTGTCCGGCCGCGCCGCCCCCCTGCCGCTCGCGCGCCCCGCCCCGGCCTCCAGCCCGCCCCCCACCCCGCGGCAGCAGGAAGCGCATTCCGGGAATGCTTGGCCCAAACTTTTTTTTTTCCCCTTCCCGCGGCCCGAGCGGGGGGTGCTGGGAGATGTAGTCACTGGGGCCAGGAGGGCACGGGGTGGGGGCTCTGGGACGCCCTTTTCTGCTCTGAATGTCTTGGCGCGTTCCGGCCCTGGAATTGATGCTTTTGAGTTATGATGTTGGTGAAGAATACTGAAAGTACCATGGACTGCCAGAACTAACAAATCTGTCCTGGAAGAAGTGCAGCCGGAATGCTCCTTGGAAGAAAGAATGGCCAGACTTCCTCTCACGCACTTGGTCATGTCAGAAGGGACCATTCCCTGGAGAAGGATATCGTGTTTGGTGAAGTGAAGGGTCTAGGGGATGGCCTCAGGCCTAAGGCAGTCACCTGCTACACCCAAAGTTGGCGGCTCAAACCCACCAGACTCTCCCCTCCAGGTAACCAGGCCATCTCTTTCTAGGAGCTCTGGTAGCATAGTGCCTAAGGCACTTGACTGCTAACCAGAAGGCTGACGGTTCAAACCCACCAGCCACTCCTTGGAAGGAAGGTTGGGCAATCTACTTCCGTAGTGATACTGCATCGGAAACCCAAGGAGAGGTCGCTATGAATCTGGTCCCACTCGATGGCAAACAACAACAACAAAGTGAAGGGTCAGCATTTTCTCTTTAGAGGAAGGCTCTCAACAAGATGGGTTGACACAGTGTCTGGGAAGATGGGATCAGGTATAGTGAGGGTTATGAGGCTTGCACAGTCCGGGCAGTGTTTCGTTTTGTTGTACGTAGGGTCCCTATGAGTCAGAGCTGACTGAACAGCACCAACATCTTTTATCTCATCCAACCACCCTTGTCAAACGCACTCAGCACCTTCTCTTGGGTCTCCCTCCAAAACGCTGTCAACATGTACCCTTTCCCCAGCCCAGCTTCTAATTTACTGCTTCACCCAAGGCCAGACCCTGGCATCTTTCCCTTTGTTGTCCTCCAGCCTCTTCTGTGGTGTCCCAGATACCCCTCCTGTGTCCCACACCTCATTTCAGTTACTATTACTGTGTAACAACCACTCCCAAACTTAGTGGGTTAAATAACCATTTCATTCTGCTTATAGAGGCTGGGGTCAGGAATTTGGACAAGGCACAGCTGACATTGCTTGTTCCTCTTCCATGACACCTGGGCCTCAGCTGGGAAGACCATGTCGTTAGGGGTGATTTGTCACATGAGAGTCTGGAATCATCTGGAGACATCTTCACTTAAATGTCTGGTGCTTGGCTCTGGTTGGGACCTTTGCTGGGGCTGTGGCCTAGAGCACCTACAAATGGCATGTGGCTTGGGCTTCCTGCCAACATGGTAGCCTTGGAGTAGTTGGACTTCTTACACAATCACTAGATCTCCAAAAGCAAACAAGATAGAAGCAGCATTCCCTTTTCTAATACAGCCTTGGCACCAGATTCAAGAGGAGAGGATATAGACCCCACTTCTCTCAGTGGAACACATATCAAGATCATATTATATAAGAAGAAATGGGTTGGGAAAGATTGTTGTGACCATCTTGGAAAATATAACTTACCTAACCTCTGCATTCTATTTTCTGCACAGCATTCAGAGTGGACTTTAAAAGCTGAAACCACAGCACACTCCTGATGAGCAATCTCCCCATGACTGCTCACTCCATCGAGAATAAAATTCCCGCAGTGGCCTGCAAGATGTCTGATCTCCTCTTCTTTGCTCACCATGGGCTCCTTCATGTTCTTCCTTCATAGCAAACTGTTCCCATCCCGGGCCCTTTGTGCATGCAGTTTCCCCTTCCTGGGACATCTTGATTCTTCTGAGCCTGCTTCTCTCCCATCCTTTAAGTCAAACGATAACTCCTTGGGAAGCCCTCCCTGACCACTCACTGCTGTCCAGCCTTACATCACTCTGTTTTATTTCTTTTAACGCTTGTCATGGCTTGACGTGAGTAGTGTCAATGGTTTGTTATCTGTCCCCTCGTCTGTCTTGGGACTACATTATGAGATGATGCTGGTCTGTCTTAGTCACCACTAAATGTTCAGGTGGGAGACCAGGTTCCAGGTGGTGGAGGCCTAGATGGGGGATTGGGGTGGACAAGAGGCCTGGAGAGAGGAGGTTGTATATGTTTGGTTATTATGTGTCTTGGTATGGATCTCTTTGAGTTTGTGCTGCTTGCAGTTGGTTGAGCTTCTTGAATATGTTATTGTTAGCTGTTGTCAAGTCAGCTCCTGACTCGTGGTAACTCCATGCACCATGAAATGAAACATTGCCCAGTCCTGCACTATCCCCACGACTGGTTGCAGGCCAGACCGTTGTAATCCACAGGGTTTCCATTGACTGATTTGCAGAACTAGATCACCAAGCTTTTTTTCCCAATCAGTCTTAGTCTGGAAGCTCCACTGAAACTAGTTCTGCATCATAGCAATATGCAAGCTTTTCATGAAATTTAGGAAGTTTGTAGCCATTTGTTTCTTCAAATATTCTTTCTCTCCCCTTTTCTCTTCTCCAAGAGACTCCCATTATGCATATGTTGGTATGCTTAATTTTGTCCCACAGGTCTCTTAGGCTCTGTTCTTTTATCTCAATTGTGTATATTTGGGGCACACTAGGAGATGGGACATACCCTCCTCCCTCCCCAGAATCTTAGAGGCAGCTGCTGACAGTAGAGAGAGAGGCAGAGACTCTGTTCAGATATCAAGACAGGGATCACCTTGGGATACACAGCTTCAGAGGAATGGGGGCGAGCACAAGAGTAGGTGTGAGAGCAGACCTCATACGTATCACACACACACACACACACACAAAACAAAAACAAAAACCAAACTCACTGCGGTTGTGTTGAATCTGACTCATAGTGATCCCTTCTTGGGTTTCCGAGGTGGTATCACTACAGAAATAGATTGCTCAACTTTACTTCTGAGGAGTGGCTGGTGGGTTTCACTGCCAACCTTCTTTCTGGTTAGAGTCAAATACCTTAGGCACTATGCCACCAGAGCTCCTATACCAGTAGTCGGAAAATATGGCATTGGTGATAGAAATGATGCCACAGATGGCAGGATAGATTTTGGAAAGACCAATGACTTATTCATTGCAAATACCTTTTTTCAACAACATAAATGGAGGCTATACACGTGGACTTCACCAGATGGTATACACAGGAATCATACAGACTACATCTGTGGAAAGAAGTGATGGAGAAGTGCAGTATCTTCAGCCAAAACAAGGCCAGGAGCTGACTTTGGAATAGACCATGAGCTGCTCATATGCAAGTTCAGGTTAAAGCTGAAGACAATTAAAACAAGTCCACAAGAGTCAAAATATGACCTTGGTTACATCCCACCTGAATTTAGAAACCGTCTGAAGAATAGATATGACACATTGAACACCTGTGACTGAAAACCAGAGGAATTGTGGAATGACATCAAGAACATCATCCATGAAGAAAGCAAGAGGGCATTAAAAAGACAGGAAAGGAAGAAAAGACCAAAACGGATGTCAGAAGAGACTCTGAAACTTGCTCTTGATCAGAGAGTAGCTAAAGCAAATGGAAGAAGTGACAAGATAAAAGAGCTGAACAGAAGATTTCAAAGAGTACTTTGAGAAGACAGAGTCAGTTATTATGATGAAATGCGCAAAGACCTGCAGTTAGAAAACCAAAAAGGAAGAACACACTCCACATTTGTCAAGCTGAAAGAACTGAGAAAAAAAAATTCAAGCCTTAAGTTACAACATTAAAAGATTCTATGGGCAAAATACTGATGCAGGAAACATCAATAGAAGATGGAAGGGATACACAGAGTCACTGTACCAAAAAGAACTGGTCGATGTTCATCCATTTCAGGAGGTGGCATATGATCAAGAACCAATGGTACTGAAGGAAGAAGTCGAAGCTGCACTGAAGGAATTGGCAAAAAACAAGTCTCCAGGAATTGACAGAATGTTGAGATGTTTTAACAAACAGATGCCACTCAGCAGGCACTCACTTGGTTTTGCCAAGAGATCTGGAAGACAGCCACCTGGCCAACTGACTGGAAGAGATCCATATTTGTACCCATTCCAAAGAAAGGTGATCCCACAGAATGTGGAAATTATCAAACAGTATCATTAATATCACATGCAAGTAAAATTTTGCTGATGATAATTCAAAAAGGGTTGTAGCAGTATATTGACAGAGAACTTTCAGAAATGCAAGCTGGATTCAGAAGAGGATGTGGAATGAGGGATATCATAGCTGATGTCAGATGGATCTTGGCTGAAGGCAAAGAATACCAGAAAGATGTTTACTTGTGTTTTATTGACTATGCAAAAGCATTTGACTGTGGGATCATACCAAATTATGGATAACAGTGAGAAAAATGGGAATTCCAGAACACTTAATTGTGCTCACAAGGAACTTGTATGTAGACCAGGAGGCGGCTGTTTGAACAGAGCAAGGAGATACTGCAGGTTTTAAAATCAGGAAGGGTGAGTGTCAGGGTTGTATCCTGTATCCTTTCACTATACTTTTTCTATCTGTATACTGAGCAAATAATCCAAGAAGCTGGACTATATGAAGAAGAGTGTGGCATCAGGATTGGAGGAAGACTCATTAACAACCTGCAACATGCAGATGAGACAACCTTGCTTTCTGAAAGTGAATATGACTTGAAGCACCTACCAATGAAGATCAAAGACTACATACTGCAGTATGAATTATACCTCAACATAAAGAAAATGAAAATCCTCACAACTGGACTAATAAGCAGCATCACGATAAATAGAGAAAAGATTGAAGTTGTCAAAGATTTCATATTATTTGGCTCCACGATCAACACCAATGAAAGCAGCAGTTAAGAAATCAAAGGATGTATTGCACTGGACAGATCTGCTGCAAAAGACCTC